GGCCGCACGCGACGTACGTGCCGCCGAGGCCGAAGACGGTCTGCGGGTGCGTCACGCGCCGCGGTCTGCCGCCGATCGCGACCGCGCCGTCGCCCCGGCGCCGGTAGTCGTCCCGCAGGTCCGCGAGGCGCGGGAGTCGCGGCAGGACGGGGTCCAACAATGGCGGCGCGGCCGCGCGCTCCGGGGGGAGCAGCTTCCGCGCGAGGCCGCGGACGAAGTCGCCGATGGCGAGCGACGCGGTGAGGCCCGTGCTGCGCACGCCGGCGACCGTGATCCAGCCCTCGTCCGCGGCTTCGATGCGGTAGTCGTCGCCGTCCGCGAGCGCCGGACGCAGCCCGCCGTACGTCGCCAATACGGGCGCGTCCGCGAGGCTCGGCAGCGCGCGCGCCGCGCAGGCCGCCAAGGAGGCGGCGGACGCGGCGGACGGCGCGCCCGCGAGGCGCCGAGCGTCGCCGGCGGCGTAGGCCGTCGGCCCGACGACGACGTCGCCGTGGACCGTCGTCCAGCAATAAGGCCCGCGGCCCCGCGCGCCCGGCGCGCCGCCGAGCGGCGCCGCCGGCGCGTCGGCCCGCGGCCCGTAGATATGGTAGTCGCCGCGCACGGGCGCGACGGCGAAGGCCGCGGACCCGCTCCCGAGCCGCTCGACCTCGTCGGCCCATAAACCGCCGCAGTTGACGACGACGGACGAACGAACGGCCCAGCCGGCGCCGCGCAGGGTCCAGCCGCCGCCCTCGCGCGCCGCGGCCTCGACGGCCGCCGACGTCGCGACGTCGCAGCCGTTCGCCTCCGCGGCCGCGGCCCAGGCCATGGGCGCGAGCCAGGGGTCGACGACGATCTCGCCGAGCACGCGCACGGCGCCGTCGGCGAGGCGGACCGCGCGGTCCGGGCCGTGCGCGGCGAAGAGCGCGCGCAGCGCCGGCGCCTCCGCCGCGGTCCGCGCGCGGTAGACGCCGCCGGTCGTCGCGTGCGGCACGCGCTGCGCGTCGTAGGCGGCCGCGTTGAGAACCTCCGCGCGCGCGAGGAGCGCGCGCTCGAGCGTGCCGACGGGCGCGTCGGGCGCCGTGCAGGCGATGCCCGTGTTGCCGCCGCTCGCGGCGCTCGCGCAGAGGGCGTCGCCGGCTTCGAGCACGCAGCAGCGCAAGCCGTCGAGCGCTACGGCGCGCGCAACGCCGAGGCCGACGACGCCGCCGCCGATGATCGCGACGTCGTAGGATGCGCGGCGCAGCATCGCTTCGAAGTGCTTCGATGCACCTAGCACCGCGTACGTGCAACGCGCAGCGCTCTTCGATGCGCCTAGCACCGCGTACGTGCAACGCGCAGCGCTCTTCGATGCGCCTAGCACCGCGTACGTGCAACGCTTCGATGAGTTAGATGTGCTCAAATCGCTCGACGCGCGGTCGGCTCGACGCAGTGTCGCATCACCTCGCTCGACGCTTCAACCCTGCTTCAGTTTCAGTTCAACAAAATGCTCTCAGATGAGCCTCTCGCGTTGGCTCGCCCAGAGGATCACTTACGCCACGCCCCCGTCCTCCTCGAAGGCGAGGCGCCTCTCGAGCAGGGACGCGCGGAGCAGCGAGCGGCGCTCCATGCCCCGGCGGACGCGGGGCGTGACGATGACGCTGCAGTAGAGCGCGACCTGGGAAACGACGACGGCCGCGAGGCAGCCCACGCCCACGGGCTCCAGCGTCGCGATGACCTTGAAGCAGTCGAGCTTGTCGCAGATCGCGTCCGGCGCCGCCTCGCGGATGATCCAGGCCGTGATCTGCCCCAGCTCCTTGGCCATGGCGATGAGCACGGCGATGAGCACCTCGAGGCTCGAGCACGCGCGCAACGCCGAGCACATGCGCCGCAGGTGGGGCCGGGGTGCGCGGCTCCGCCGCGCCAAGGCCACCAGGAGGAAGAGGCAGCCCGCGTCGAGGGCCGGGCACAGGACGAACCAGAAGGCGAACCACGACGCGTAGGCCGTCGACACGAGCGGCGTCTGCGTCGCGCGCGTCGCGACGGGCGCGGCGACGAGCGAGAGCACGGAGTAGGTCCGCGGCCCGCCGGGCACGAAGGCGCTCAGGGCCTCCTCGTTCGTCATCGTGAAGATCGGCAGGCACAGCGCCACGGGCAGGAGCGCGCAGGACCCCGCGGCCGCGGCGGCGGCGAGCGCCGACGGCGCGTCGCCCTCCTCCGGCTCCGGTCGGACCGCGGGCCTCCGCGGCGTGAACCAGAAGGCCTCCTGCGACGGGACCCGCGCGAGGCTCCCCCCGGCCTCGTCGTCCTCGAGCGCCTCGGCCACGAGCGCCCAGAAGCACAGCCCGACGGTCACGAGGTTCCCGATCTCGTTGACGAGGATGCCCAGCGACGGGAACGCGCGCACGAGCACCTTGAGCCCGCCGACGGACCGCGAGTCGATGCGCAGCGCCACGGTGAAGATGTAGGCCGACGCGTCCATGGATCGCGTGAACTTGATCAGGTGCGCGCAGAATTCCAGCGCGACGCGCCGCCGCCGCCGCAGGGCGCGCGACGCGACGACGCGCGGGTGCCTCCGCGCCGCGTGGAGCGCCAACAGCGCGGCGACGGAGAGGAACGGCTGCACGCCCGAGCAGACGCCCAGCAACCCGCTGAAGAGGGGCGCCTTGGCCTTGGCAAAGTCCGTGATGGTGGACCAGGTCGTGAAGATGAACACGACGAGCTCGCCGACGCGGTCGCGGTCGAGCACGACGTCGACGTGCACGTAGCTGCCCTTCGACCGCTGGCCCCACAGGAAAAATGCGAGCGTGCCCATGGAGACGGCGAAGAAGAGCGAGTCCCGCACGCGCGGAGCAAAGCATGCCCCGGCCTCGCCCCGCGCCGCGAGCGCCGACGTCGTCGTCGGCCACGAGTCGCAGGTCGCGGGCTGCGCCAGGGGTGCCTCGGCCTCGCAGGGGATGGGCTCCGCGGCTGGACTGACGGGACGCGCCAGCGGCGTCGTCACGCGGCGGAAGATGGCGACGGGCCTTTCCCGCGAAGGCCGGCAACCCATCCTTGCTGGGCAGGCCTCGTTTACAAGTCCATGGGATCACGTCCTACTGTAACTGCAACGATCGCCTACAAGTTCAAGGTGAATCGCATTTCTAAATTGCCACAGGCGCGAGGTGGCGGCGCCACAGCCACGATGGCGCAAACAAACCCGATCCACGCGAGCCCCCTCGAGGACGGCAAGGACGCCCTCGCGTCGGAGCAGGAGGTCGACGACGTCATCGAGGCCATCGGCACGGGCGTCTGGCAGTACGCGCTCATCGTCCTCCTCGGCGCGCTCTTCCTCGCCGACAGCGTCGAGGTGTCGCTCCTGTCGTTCCTCTACGAGTGCGTCGGCGCGGCCTTCGATCTGACGACCTTCGAGGCCGCGAGCGTCGTGTCGGTGGTCTTCGGCGGCGAGGTCGTGGGCGCGCTCGTCGCCGGCGCGGTGTCGGACCAGGCCGGGCGCAAGGGCGTCGCGCTCGTGTCCGGCCTGGGCGTCGCCGTCTTCGGCCTCGCGAGCGCCTACTCGCCGGACTACGGCACCTTCATCTCGTTCCGCGGCGCCGTCGGCATCTTTCTGGGAACGTTCGCGGTGCCCTTCGACCTCCTGGCGGAGATGCTACCGGCGAAGACGCGGGGCCAGGCGCTCATCTGGCTCGAGGTCGGCTGGGCGCTGGGCGCCATGTACGCCTGCGCCGCGGCCTGGGTGGCGCTGCCGATCTCCAGCTGGCGGAGTCTGACGGTCGCGTGCGCGGCGCCGCCGGCGTTCGTCTTCCTGGGTCTGCTCTACTGCCTCGACGAATCGCCCAGATTCCTCATCGACCAGGGCCGGCGCGCCGAGGCCGCGGCGATCTTCCGGCGCGTCGCGGCGAAGAACGGCAGCTCCAACGACCCCGCGGTGGTCGCGGCGATCGCGAAAGTCGCGGACGGCGAGTCGGCGCCGCCGGACGCGGCGACAGAAAGTTCTCTCACAATCGCCAAACAAAAGCTCGCGGAGCTCTTCGACGCCAAGCTCGGGCCCGTCACGGCGCCCGTCTGGGTCATCTGGTTCTGCTTCGGGCTCAACTACTACGGCATCACGCTCCTGGTCACGCGCATCTACGCGACGGGCGACGACGACGACTTCAAGTGCACGTTCAAATACGGCCTCATCTTCGCGACGTTCTCCGCGGAGCTCCTCGGCGCGCTGGCCCTCGTGCCGACAATCGATTTGTTCGGCCGCGTGCCCTGCCAGGTCGCGACGTACGCGGGCACGTGCGCGGCGCTGCTGCCGCTGGGACTCGGCGCGACGGACGGCCCGTTCGACTTCGTCTGCCTCTTCGTCGCGCTCGCGGCGGCGACAGCATCCTGCAGCGCGACGTGGGTACACGTCGCCGAGCTCTACCCGACGCACGTGCGCTCGACGGCGCACACGGCGGCCTACGTCGTCTCGCGGCTCGGCGCGTTCCTCTCGTCCTACGTCGTCGACTCGGGCCTGTCCATCGTCGCCGCGACCTGGGTGCTCATCGCCACCGCGGCCCTCGCCGCGGCCGCGTCCGCCACGCTCCGGGAGACGGCGAACGAGCGCCTCGTGTAGTAAAAACCCTCGCTTCGGATCTGCTCCCTGCGGCACGGGCGCGTCGCAAGTTATACGCGGGCGCGGCGTCTGCTCAGGACCAGGTCACGGTGATCTTGCAGTCGAGGTCCTCGCGGAGCTTGTCGAGCTTCTTCTCGAGCTCGGCCGGGGGCACGACCTTGGGCGCCGTGAGGTAGCCCTCGAGGAGGAAGAAGGGCCGCGTCTTGCCGTCCTCGTTCGCGACGGCGACGGTGTCCGTCGCGAGCTCCTCGATGTTGAAGCCGACCTCGCTGAAGAGCTTGGAGACCTTGAAGACGATGCCCGGCTGGTCCGCGCCCGTGAGGCGCACGCGGGCCTCGCGGACCGTCGAGTCCGCGTCCGCGTGGCTCCCGTGGACGCGGAGCTCGCGCGCGGAGATCGTCAGGTCCTCCATCTGCTTGTTCGCGCCCTCGCGGCCGAGGAGGTCGGCGCGCAGGTGGCTCGCGGCGACGCGGTCCTTGGACGTCACGTGGAGGATGACCGTGAACTCGTCGTTCATGCGCAGCATCTTCGACCCTGTGATGTTGCCGCCGCGCTCGTAGATCCACTGCGACAGCATGGACACCAAACCGACGCGGTCCTTGCCGCTCGCCGTCACGCAGAGGTGGGCCACGTCCTGCGTCCGCGGCCGCGGCTTCGCCACGCCCTCCTCCGCGGGCGTGTCGCTCCGCGACAGGCGCCGCGTGACCGCGCTCGCGACGTCGGCCATCTCGGGCAGCGAGTGCCGCCGCGCGAGCCCCTGCGCGAAGACCTCCATGGTCCGCGCGGAGACGTGGGGGCCGAGCATGACCAACCCCGCGGCGTCCTCCTCCTCGCCGACGAAGGCCGCGGCCCCGTCCTCGACCTCCTCCGTGCCACGCATCGCGGAAAGGATCATCGTCCAGACGAGCGACGTCGACGCGACGACGGGGATCCGCATCCACATGGGGCTGAAGGCGAAGTTCAGGCACGTCGCCGGCACCCAGATCTTCCAGAGCGCCTCCAAATCCGGCCAGAAGTTGTCGTTCCACCGCTTGTAGACGCGGTCGACGGACGCGTCGCCGCCGTACAACACGAGCTCCTTCGTCATGTAGAACGCGGGGAAGTACATGAAGGGGTGGTGCACGCACTGGTCCAGGAAGACCTGGGCCGCGACGCCCAAAGTGCCCGGCAGGTCGGCCATCTTCTCCCGGAGGCTCTTCGCCGCGAACGCCTCCGTCTTCGGGAAGAGGCGGCCGAAGACGGGCACGTACAGGCTGTACTGGACGATGCCCAGGTAGCCGAACCCGAAGGACGCGAAGGCCGCGTTCCGCTTCCAGTCGATGGTCTCGCGCCGCTCCACGAAGGTCTGCACGATGAGGTCCGACGCGCTCGTCTTCAGGCAGGAAAAGCCCACGCCAAAGGCCATGGGGCTCGCCTTGGCGAAGCGCAGGACCGCCGCCATACTGGCGGCCGCACTGCCACCCGGCCGCCCGCGCGCGCCGCGCACGAACGGCTGTGCCGCGCGGCGGTTGCTGCGGATGCGACGCGACGCTGCCGAGGGAGTTGCTGCAGGTTGTGGCAACACAGTCGAGATCGAGGGCCGCGTCACTCTCGACGCGACGAGGGCAAAGCGAAACTTTTTAAATGGTGTACACGACGGTGCCGCGTCTTCGGATGCCGATGGTGGGCTCCCTCGAACGATGATGATCTGACGCCATGGCCCTCGTGTCCGAGACCTTCAACGCGCTCGTGGACTGGAACGACCCGTTGGTCGCCCAGGAGCGCGACCTCGCGGCGGCGGCGGCGCCTCCCGCGCCCCTGCGCAACCCCTTCGCGAAGCCCCTCTTCAAAAGCGATGCGGACCGGCGGGCCTTCCAGGACGGCCCCTTCATGCGCGCGCTGCGCAACTCGAAGATCATCCTGCGCGACCGCGAGGCGGACCGGCGCCGGCGCCGCGCGGACCGCGACCCGGCGTTCGCGCCGCGCGACGACGACTACGACGCCGAGCCCGTGCAGCCCAGCGCCGAGCGACAGGAGTGTTTTTTCGCGTGAATTTCGTCTGAAGATGTGAAGAAATCCGACCCCGTCGCACGTGGTAGGTGCAGCCCCTCGACGGCTTCAAGCACGTCGACCTCTACGCGCTCCTCGAAGTCGACGAGCACGCGCGCCGGCGGCGTCCGCGACCTTTCCCAAAAACGACGCGCCGCGCCCCCACAGGCGTCGGCCGCGGAGATCCGGAGCGCGTACCGGAAGGCCGTGCTCAAGTACCACCCGGACAAGGCGCAGTACTACAAGATGCTCGCGCTGACGAACGAGCACCGGACGACGACGGGCGGCGGCTTCCTCGCGGAGCGCAACAGGGAGATCGACGACATGATGCGCGACGCGTTCCTCCGCATCCGCGAGGCCTTCGAGATTTTGGGCGACGCGGCGTCGCGGCGCCAGCGCCTCGCCGGCGTCCGCGGTCGCGGCCGCGCTGACGTCGCGCCCCGCGCAGGTACGACCGGCTCCGCGACGAGGAGGCCGCGTCCGAGCAGTCGAGCCCGGACTCGATGGTCGCGAAGCACATCCGCCGGCGGCGCGCCGAGGACCCGGGCCTCCCGGACCTGCGCGCGGCGGCGACGCGCATCGCGAAACGCGCCGTCGACCCGCTCCGCGTGGGCGTCCCCGCGACGTTGGACGACGTCGACGCGGGCCGCGAGTTGGCCGCGGAGGTGTCGCGCCTCGCGCGGGGCCGGAGCGGCGACGCCTACGAGGAACGGAAAATTTTCTACGTCGCGCTGCGGCCCGGCGACCGGAGCCGGCGGACCTGGGAGCTCGAGGGCGAGGGCGGCCTCGTCTCCGCGGACGGCGACGCGGCGCGGGACCTCGTGCTCGAGCTCGAGGTGAAGCCCGACGCGCTCCTCGCGCGGCGCGGCGCGGACCTCGAGGTCGAGCGCGTCGTCGATTTGGGCGCTCTGGCGCCCGGCGGCGCCTTCACCTGGACCGCGCCGGGCCCGAACGGCGCCCGCTACGCGGTCCGGGGCCGCGCGCCGCGGACGGCGGACGCGGAGCGGCTGGTCTTCGCGGTCTCGGTCCCCGGCGGCGGCCTCCCGCTGCCCGAGGCGCCGGAGGCGCGCGGCCGGCTGCACGTGACCTTCGCCTGCGCCGGCGAGCCGCCCGAGGCGCGCCACCGCCGCGGAGCGCGGGCCGCGCGCGCGTTCCGCCGCGTCGCGCTCGCGCCGCGGGCCGCGCCGCGCTTCGGCTTTTGCGTGGCCGCGTCCGAGGGCCGCGGCGCGCCGGGCCTCGACGACGTTTTGATCGACGGCGTCGTCGCCCGCGGGGCCTTCGACGGCTCGCTCTTCCTCCGCGCGCCCTGCGCGTTCTTCTCCGCGGAGGCGCGCTTCGTCGACCGCCTCGCGCCGGACGCCTGGCGCAGCGTCCTGTGGCCGTGGCGATTTTCGAGAGCTTTTGACCGGGAAAACGAAGAAAAATCGTTACCGACGCACTTGGTAGGCCTGGCGCCGGCCCGACGACTGGCGCGACGCGCGCGTGCCGGACGCCAGCCCCGCGCTCGAGGCCGCCGAGGAGCCGCCACCGGCGACGTACCACCCGGCGGTCCTCGTCGACCCCCCGGCGGCGGCGGACGACGACGCGCCGCGGTGCCTGCCGGCCGCGGACCCGGCGCTCCGCAGCCTCCCGGCGCAGATCCGCGACGGCCCCTGCTCGCCGGACCCGACGCCGGACCCGCGGCCTGCGGCGCCGGAGCCGGCGCCCGCCTCGGAGTCGGACGACGACGACGACGACTTCGTCCAGTACATCGTCGGCGGCAAGCGCGGAGCCATCATCCGCGCCGGCGCGGCGCTCGACTCCGCCAAGGTCGGCGAGCTCGAGTTCCTCACGACGGTGTCCTGCAGCCGCCGGGAGAAGGTCGTCGGCAAGACGGCCCGCGTCCGGGTCGTCGCGCCGACGCGCGGCTGGGTGTCCAAGCGGCTCCTCGAGCCCTACGAGCGGCCCATGTTCGCGTGAGTGTAAGCGCTGTTGGTGGACGTCGTCTGGGGGCTTATGTGCCCAGGACTGCCGTCGATTTAGGCGTCGATTTCCTCGATTTTGGCCTTGACGCGTCTCTAAACGTAGGGGGGCCGGGGAGGAACCGCGGGAGTCGGAGTTTTCAGAGGCTCGGCCTCAGGCTCAGCCGGAGCTCGATTTTGGCGAAGGAGTCGTCGTTGTGGACACAGAATCATCCGCTAGGTCGCGAAGCACGACGCATCACGATGGTTGCTGCTCTACTTCTGCGCCTCATTTTGGAGGACCCGACGAGCGTGCCCTTCCGCCTGAACGAGGATTTCGAGGAGGACTACCTCGAGGTCATCGAGAGGCCCATGGACCTCACGACGATCCACAACAAGATGGACACATACGACGACCTCGCGGCGTTCGCCCGCGACGTGCGGAGCGTCTTCGCGAACGCGATCCTCTACTACACGACCCGCGACGAGCCGGTCGCGAAGGACGCGACCCTGCTCCTGAAAAAGTTCGAGAACCGCCTCGCGTTCGAGAAGTCGGTCGCGGAGACGCGCGCCGCCGAGGCGCCCGCGGCCGCGCCCCGCGCCGTCGAGGGCGGCGACTCCGCGCCCCGCGCCGATTCCGCGCCCCGCGCCGTCGAGGCCAACGATGCCGCGCCGGCCGCCGCGCCGGCGCCGCGGAAGTCGTCGCGGAAGCGCGAGTCCGACGGCGACGTCGCGCGGAAGCGCGCGGTCGCGCTGAAGCTGCGCGCGGCCCGCGCGGACCCCTACGGCGTGAGCGAGGAGCGCGACGCCTGGCCCCTCGCGGGGGCGCTCAACGCCGTCGACGCCGCGCGCTGCGCCGCCTACGCGGCGGGCAAGTCCTTCGAGAGCCTGCGGTCGATCCGCGCGAACGGCTTCAAGGTCCTGACGATCCGCGCGGCCGACAAGCGCGAGGTCGGCTCCGCCGTGGCCGCGTCGCTCTTCGGCGGCGTCGAGGCGGGCGTCGGCGTCGACCTCGAGCGCCTCGCGCGCGACGCGCCGGACCTCTTCCCCGGCGCGGCGGACCGCGCGGCCTTCGACGCGGCCGCGCGCGACCCGAAGCTCCGCTGCGACCCCGCGGCGACGCGCGACCTGCCGCGCGACGCCCTGCTCCGCGCCGCCGGCGCCGCGGCGATCCTCGACAAGTCGTGGTTCGCGCGGACCGACGGCGAGCGCGCGAAGATCGCCGCCTGGACGAGCAAGCTCCGGGGCTGGGCCGCGCTGCGCCGCGCGCCGCCGAAGCGGGGCTACTGCGTCTGCGCCGGCGACGGCCTGGGCCCCATGGTCGGGTGCTCGAACGAAGCGTGCGCGAACGGCCGGGGCTGGTTCCACCTCGCGTGCGTCGGCCTCGACGCCGCGCCGGAGGGCGACTGGTACTGCGACGCCTGCGCCGACGAGCACCCGCGGGAGCCCCCGGCGCCGAAGAAGCCGCGCGGCCGGCCGCGCAAGCCCCCGCTGCCCGAGGCCGCGCCGGCCGAGGACGTTGCGCGGCCCTTCGCGGACGTCACCAACGACGTCATCGTCATCGACTAGACTCGAGATCCCCTCCCCCCCGAAGCTCGAAGTAACGAGTTACTTGTCCTTGGTTCCGCGGGACGCGCGGTACCGCGGCGCGTCCGACGGCGCGCGGGCCTAGTCCGAGTCCGAGTCGGAATCGGACTCGGAGCTCGACGAGCTCGACTCGTCGGAGCTCGAGTCCGCCTTCGGCGGCGGCGGCGGCGGCGCGTCCTTCTTCGCCTTCTTCTTCTTCTTCTTCTCGGACGTCTTCTCGGAACCGTCGACGGACGCGTCGAAGGAGATGCTGCGCTTCGGCGCCGCGCCGTCCTTGGGCGCGGCGGAGCCGTCCGCCGGCGCGGCCGCGGCGGCGCCCGCGCCGCCGGCCGCGTCGTAGGCCGCCTTGTCGATCGCGTACTGCTTCTGCCCGTCCTCCGCCTTGCCCTGCCACTTCTTCTTCCCCTCCTCGCCGATCTCCTGCCACTTGCCCGCGATGTAGGTCATGCCCGCCTTCCCCTTGGGCATCTCGTCGCCCTTCTTCTTCCGCTTGTGCGCGCTGAACAACTGGTAGCCGGTCGGCGGCCGCTTCGGAGCGTTCGGGTCCTTGACCTTCTTCGCCTTCTTCCCCTTGGCCGCGGGCTCGTCGACCTTCGTCGCGACCATCTTCTCCTCGTGGCCGAGGGCCCGCGAGTAGGCGTTGGCCTGGGCGAGGAGCGCCTCGGCCTGGCCCCGCAGGGCCCGCTCCATGGCGACGTTCACGGCGTACTCCGCGTCCGTCATGCCCTCCGTGCCGTCCGCGGACGGGTGCGGCGTCGCGGGGGGTGCGTCGGCCATCGTCGACGCAGTCGGGCGGTGAGTTACGGTCGTCGCGGGCGCGGGTCGACGCGTTGGCGCGAGACTGTTGCCTCGAGACCTCGGTCGATTTGACAATTTCGCAGTCGATCGCAAAATCGAGCTCGGCGGGCGCGTCCGTCCGAGGCCTCGTCCGACGGCGCCGCGCGCCGAAGTCCGCTCGAGAACGCCGAGCACCGAGCCTTAGGTCCCCGCGTCCCCGTCCAGAACGACCGGCGGCGCGGCGAGCGCGGGCTGGAGGTAGTAGTCCGCCGCGAGCTTCGCCCCGGTCGCGGCGCCGCCGCCGGCGACGGCGGAGTCGTCGTCGCCGTCGAGGTCGCAGGAGAAGCTCAGCGAGAGGGACCGCGCGGCCAGCGCCGCGTGGTGCGCCGCGCGGCGCGAGTAGAGCCCGAAGCGCACGGAGCTCTCCCGGTCGAGGAAGCGCGCGGGCTCCTCGTAGTTTTCGCGGACGTCGCTCCGGGCCTTGAGCGTCAACAGCAACAGCGGCGCGAGGGCCGCCGCGGCCTCGGGCGCCTCGAGGATCAGCAGCTGCCCCGCGAGCGTCGCCTGGCCCACGGCGAGCGCGAGGAAGAAGCACGCGCTCAGGTGCGGCCACGTCTGCGAGCCGCCCGTCTCGTAGCGCGCGACGTAGACGCAGAGGAACTGGTGCGCGTAGACGAGCTCCGCGCCGGCGAAGTAGAGCGCGACGGCGGCGACGACCGGCGGCGCGATGGGCGCGTAGATGGCGCCGACGACGACGACCATGAAGAAGTCGGGCAGGTACGACCCGTAGTCGAAGTCGCTCGGCGCGCGGAGCCGCCGGCGCACGCGCGCGGGCACGGTGGCGCGCCGCGTGTAGCCCTGGCGCGCGACGACGGAGACGAGCGCGACGGGCCGCGCGAGCTCGAAGGCGAGCGCGAAGCAGATCTTGGCCACGACGAGCTGGAGGAAGTAGGCGCCCATGCCCGGCAGCGCGCGGCCGAGTAGGTCCAGCAGCGACTTCGGGTGATCCAGGAACCGCTCGAAGACGCTCAAGAGCGACCCCGACGCGACCGTGACGAAGATCTGGAGCAGCTGGAACGACGCGTAGCGCGCCGCGACCCAGCCGTGCGCCTCGGACCGCGTCTTCGCGCCCGCGTAGCCGACCGCCAGCGCCTCCAAGATCAACGGCAGCACGCCGAGCAAAGCGAGGAGCGCGTAGACGGGCAGCAGGCCCGAGACGAGCGCGCGGGACCGCTCGTAGCGCGGGTCGCTCGCGAGCGGCGCGATGAACGGGACGTACTTCGCCAAGACGTCGAGGTTGCAGAGCGCCTGCACGGACGCGACGAGCGGCGCGTAGACGGCCGCCAGCAGCACGAGGCCCGCGTCCGCGGCGCGGAGCCTTTCGGCGACGTCGCGCGCCGGCGCGCTCACGTTGCGCCACACGAGATCGCTCCGCGGCGGCGCGAGCGTCGCGGAGACGTCGCCCGGCCGCGACGTGAGCACGAGCTGCGCCGCCTCCGCGGCGAGCGCGGGGCTGAAGAACGTCACGACGCCCGTGCTCGACGCGCCGTCGCCCAGATGCTTCTTCACGGCGTCGTTGACGCCGGCCACGGCGCCCAGGAACGCCGCGGCGCCCTCGAGCTCCGCCGTGATGACGTGCAAGGCCGACGCGCCGTCGTCGTCGTCGTCGCCGCCGGCGCTCCGAAGCTCGCGGCGCCGCCGCGCCGCGGCGATGGCCTGCTGCGCCTCGACGACGGCGGCGTCCGCGTCCGCGAGGCGCCGCCGCAGCGTCGCCGCGCGGCCCCGGGCGACGCTGCCCTCGAGCGACGCGTAGTCCGCGCTCGTCGATCCCAAGACCTCCCACTCGTAGGCGTCCAACGCCCGGTCCCGCGCGTCCAGCGCCGCGGCGACGTCCGCCGTGTCGACGAACGACACGGCGCTGTGCACCGCGCGGTCCCCGAAGAGCGCCTCGAAATAGCGCCGGAGCGCCGCGTCGGACCGCAGCCGCGGCGGCACGCGCTCGACGAGCACGGAGCAGCGCGCCTGCGGCGAGTCCGAGCCGTCGCCGCGCCGCAGCCAGCCGAGCCGGTCCCGGAGGTAGCGCCGCGACTCGACCTCGACGAGGCCCAGCGCGAGAGCGGAAAACGCGTAGGCGAACGCGACGGCGGCCCAGAGCCGCGCGCGATCAGCTTCACCGTCGCAGTTGCCGAGCGTCCAACGGTAGAAGCCCGCCGCGCCGCCGGAGCAAGACGCGAAGGCCGGCCCGACGGTAACGACCGCCGCGGCCGCCGCCGCGCCGAAGAGGTTCCGGCACACGCGCAGGAACCGGAGCGCGTAGAACGCGTCGAGGCCGACCTTGTCGCGGAGCTCGTCCCAGTCCACGCGCGACACGTCCCGCGCCCAGCCCAGCGGCGTCCGCGCGACGGGGATGGCGCGGCCGGGGCGGTGGCGCAGGCGGCACTGGTAGACGCTGCGCTTCGACCGGCCGAGCTCGAAGAGCGCGAGCAGCGACGCGCCGATGAGCAGGTTCGACTGCACCGTCGCCACGATCTCCACCCAGCGGCCGCTGGGCAGCGGCGTGGACATGCGTGCGCAGCGCGAGCGTGTAGCTGCGTCTGAAGCGATGCGAGTGCTCGCGCGCTTCGACGCCCGAAGCGATGCGAGTCGTGCAGCTCAGAGGTTCCTTTACGGCGACGGTATGCTCGCTTGAAAAGGCCTCTTGAGAGAGCTCATTGCTCGCGTCGAGCGGCACATTGAATGCATCGCGACGTCAACGACGAAGATTGCCTCTCAAGCCCTCTCAAACGGAATCGCAAGCGCCCCGAAACGCACCTCGAAGACGTCGATTTAGGCCCCCGCGAGCCGGAGCTGCTCGCGCCGCGCGTCGGCCCAGAGGCACGTGCGGCACTCGCTGTGCGTGCGCGTGATCTCGAAGCGCGCGACCCACCAGGCCGGCAGCGGCCGGTAGCGCCAGGCGTGGTAGGACTCGTAGAGGGTCTCGTTGGCGAGGATGGCGCGGAGGTGGGCCGCGAGCGCCTCCGTCGACGGAAAGTCGCGCACGTTGACGATGGATCCCGGCGGCGCGTGCTGCCAGACGTTCGGCGCGCCGTAGTACACGGGCAGCACGCCCGCGTCCAGCGCGCCCCAGAGCTTCTCCGTGACGTAGTCGTCGACGTTCTGGTTCTCGAAGGCGAGGTAGAGCGCGTAGCGCCGCACGAGGTCGACCTTGGAGCCCCGCGACCCGGGCACGTCCGCGTTGTGGAGGCAGGAGGACACGCTCTCGACGGGCAGCAGCTCCATGAGGCTCCTCACGAGCCCCTCGCGGTCGTTCTTCGACAGACAGTTGCGCGCGACGAAGACGGCCTTTTTCCGCTCGACGTCCCTCAGTTTGATGTGCGGCTTCTGGATCACGTACTCCGCGTAGGAGAAGTAGGGCAGGGGCACGTCCGACTCGAAGGACGTCGTCGACATCATGACGTTCGGATCGTGCGTCAACTTGAGGCTCGCGTAGTACTGCTCGCCCTCCATGGACGCCTGTGTGCAAATCAACCAGTGAGCTGGGACGTCGGGGCCAAACTTCAGAATTCTCTAGCTCGGTCAAATCGAAGTGGATTTGGCTGATTTCTGGACGAATCGATTGCTCTCAGCGAGTTCTCGAAGCACGGCGGAAGTGCTCGTGTCAAAACATTCGAGTACGCGCACATTGAAGTCGAGTTGAAGATTTGATTTGCACACAGATGGACGCGACGAACGGCGTATCGATCTCCTCGATGGTCCCGCGCAAGACGACGCCGGACCGCGACGCCGACCAGAAGCAGGGCAGGTCGCACGCCACGCGCCGCGTCGCCCGCTGGCTGCCCACGCGCACGTGGATGGCCGCCGCGCCGGGCTTCGGCTTGTGGAGCGGCTTCGGCGCGGGCGGCCGCGCCGCCTTCGCCTCGGGAGGCGCGGGCGCCTTCGGAGGCGCGGGCTTCGGAGGCGCGGGCGCCGCGACCCGCACGGGGGGCTTGTCCTGCGGCGACCGCTCGACCTGACGTGCTCGCGCGTCGTCGTCGTCTTCGTCGTCGTCGTCGTCGTCGTCTAGGCCGAGCGCGCCGCGAACGCGCCCCGCGAACCGCCGCTTCTCCTTTCGTAGTTTTCGAGCAATGAGCTTTTCCTCGTGGTTGATCGCGCGAACGATCGGGCTGTGAGCGATGATCTTTTCCTCTCGATTGATCGCGTGAACGATCGCCCGCTCCTCGGCGACGACGAACTCGACCACTTCCCTTTCGGCGGTGAAGATGCCGAGCTCTCGGCTGTGAGCATCGAGCGTGATCAACAGGACAGCGATCCAACCAACCAATAACCCGAGCAGAACACTCCAGCAGAACAGGCGGCGGACTTTCATGGCGCCCCGCCCCAGTGTACCCAGTGGGCCCTGCGACGCGGGCACGTTCTCCGACTCGCGGAATTTGACGCACGAGCGCGAGTGCGACAATTCTTGGCGAGCTACGTCTGCGACAGCGCGACGACGTCGAACACGATCGCGGACTGCAGCATGCAGCGCGGGCTACTACTCGCTGAATTTTGAGGTAAAATTCTCGAGTAGAGGGCATCGCTCAGGGCGGCACAAACTTGCTTAGGAACGAAAAAATCAGGCGACGCGGGCATGGACGAGCACACGAAGGCCAAGAAGCGGGAGTACGAAGAAAAGAAGGCGCGGACGAAGCTCGCACTCAACATTTGCACGATCTGCGGCGAAAAGAACGCCAAGGCTTGCCAGGGTTGCGGCACCGTGGCATATTGTTCGACGGACTGTCAACGCATCGACTGGCGCGACCGGGGCCACCGGAAGGCGTGCAAGTCGATCCAGGCGGAGCGGGCGGCGGAGGCCGCGCGCGCGGAGGCCCCGCCGCCCCCGCCGCCGGTGGTGTTCTACGGCCCCGCGCCGCGGTCGCACGCCGACGAGGTCCGCGCGCGCATCGCCGCGGAACACGAGGCGGCCCGTGCGCGGCGCGAGGAGAACCCGGAGCCGGCGCCGCAATCGGAGCGATTCGGGTCGCGGTGCCCGATCTGCTTCGAGGACTGGGACGCGAACGAACAAAATTACCTTCAGATTTGCTGCTGCCGAAGAGTCTGCCGTTCATGCTATGACAAGATTGAAACCGCGTGTCCCCTCTGTCGTGCACCGCTCGCAGAGAATGATGCGGAAGACCTCGCGCGGCTTCGTCGCCACGTGGAGAACGAGGTACCGGAAGCGATTACTTATTTGGGGAACGCGTACCGTGAGGGTGACCTCGGCCTGAGAAGCGACAAAAAAGCCGTGAAGCTCTACAAGCGCGCTGTGGAACTCGGGGATGTGGACGCCACGCTGAATCTCGGGTACGCCTACGAGAAAGGACTAGCCGTCAAAATGGACCTGAAGAAGGGGGTTCAGCTGTATCGAATGGCCGCGGATCGGGGCCACGCGAGGGCGCAATGCAACCTTGCGACTATGCTTCGCGACGAAAGTTCTGATGAATCACAGCGAGAAGCCTTCGAATACTATATGCTCAGTGCAGCCCAGGGCTATACGGATGCGATCTACATGGTCGGCTGCTGCTACGTACACGGATCGGGCACGGAAGTCGACCTCGTCGAAGGCAAGCGCTGGTATGAGCACGCAGCTAGCAAGGGCAACAAGTACGCGGCCAGCGCATTAGAAGTCCTCGCGCGGCGCAGCAAGTAAGAGCGTTAAACACCGCGGCCGAACCTAGCGCGGCGTCGTCGCCCCCGGCGGCTTGAAGTCGCGGGGGTCGGCGCCGTCGGCGGGGTTGTGGAGGGCGGCGAGGTTCGCCTCGATGACGCGCTGGCCGAGGTCGTAGATCGCGGACACGACGAGCCCCTCGGAGGACGCCCTCCCAGTCTGTAAAAAATCGCTGAACCAGGCTTTTGCTTGTGGAGAAGGTCGAGCAGAGGCATGGACGAGACGAAATCAGGCGACGCGCGCGGGGACTCATGGCAGAAGAAAGCGAAAGAATACGAACTCAAAAAGACACGGACGAAGCTCGCGCTCAACATTTGCACGATCTGCGGCGCGGATAAAGCCAAGGCCTGCCAAGGCTGCGGAACTACAGCTTACTGTTCGACGAACTGCCAACGCATCGACTGGCGCGACCGGGGCCATCGCAAAGCGTGCAAGCAGATCCAGGCGGAGCGGGCGGCGGAAGCAGATCGCGCGAAGGCGCCGACGCCCCCGCCGCCGCCGCCGCCGGTGGTGTTCTACGGCCCCGCGCCGCGGTCGCACGCCGACGAGGTCCGCGCGCGCATCGCGGCGGAACACGAGGCGGCTCGAGCGTTGCGCGAGGCGAACCCGGAGCGGGAGCCGCTGTCGGCACGGCTCGGGTCGCGGTGCCCGATTTGCTTGGACGAATGGGACGTGAACGAAGGCACTCACCTTCAGATTTGCTGCTGCCGAAGAGTTTGCGGTTCATGCAGTGTCAAGCTCCACGGCAAGCAGTGTCCTCTGTGTCGTTTGCCGTGGCCGGAGTCTGATGCGGAGCAGCTCGCGCGGCTTCGTCGCCACGTGGAGAACGAGGTACCTGAAGCGATCAATTTTTTGGGGAACGCGTACCGCGATGGTGACCTCGGCTTGAAAAGCGACAAAAAAGCCGTGAAGCTCTACAAGCGCGCGGTGGAACTCGGGGACGTGTCCGCCATGCTGAATCTTGGGTGCTCCTACGATCATGGAGTTGGCGTCAAAATGAACAAGAACAAGGCGGTGCAGCTGTATCGTATGGCCGCGGATCGGGGCCACGCGAGGGCGCAATGCAACCTTGGACACATGTTTCTCGAGGAACAATGTGATGAATCGCAGCGAGAGGCCTTCGAATACTTGAAGCTCAGTGCAGCCCAGGGCTTTACGAATGCGCTCTACCACGTCGGCTTCTGCTACGTACACGGAGCGGGCACGGAAATCGACCTCGCCGAAGCCAAGCGCTGGTTCGAACGCGCAGCTGCCAAGGGCCAAAAGGAATCAATCCACGCGCTAGAAATCCTCGCGCAGCACAGCATGTAAGAGCCATATTAAACACCGCGGCCGAACCTAGCGCGGCGTCGTCGCCCCCGGCGGCTTGAAGTCGCGGGGGTCGGCGCCGTCGGCGGGGTTGCAGCGCGGCGAGGTCCGCCTCGATGACGCGCTGGCCGGGGTCGTAGATCGCGGACACGACGAGCCCCTCGGAGGACGCCCTCCCGGGTCTGTAAAAAATCGCTGAACAGAGGTCTTGGTTGTGGAGGAGGTCGAGGAGCATGGACGAGACGAAATCAGGCGACCCGCGGGGGGACACATGGCAGGAGAAAGCGAAAGAATACGAACTCAAAAAGACACGGACGAAGCTCGCGCTCAACATTTGCACGATCTGCGGCCAAAGAAACGCCAAGGCTTGCCAAGGTTGCGGCACGACGGCCTACTGTTCGACGGAATGTCAACGCATCGACTGGCGCGACCGGGGCCACCGGAAGGCGTGCAAGTCGATCCAGGCGGAGCGGGCGGCGGAGGCCGCGCGCGCGGAGGCGCCGACGCCCCCGCCGTCGGTGGTGTTCTACGGCCCCGCGCCGCGGTCGCACGCCGACGAGGTCCGCGCGCGCATCGCCGCCGAACACGAGGCCGCCCGTGCGCGCCGCGAGGCGAACCCGGAGCGGGAGCCGCTCTCGGCGCGGTACGGGTCGCGGTGCCCGATCTGCTTCGAGGACTGGGACGTGAACGAAGGCACTTGCCTTCAAATTTGCTGCTGCCGAAGAGTCTGCGGTTCATGCTATGACAAGGTTCACGGCAAGCCGTGTCCTCTGTGTCGGATGCCGTGGGCGGAGTCTGAGGCGGAGGATCTGGCGCGGCTTCGTCGCCACGTGGAGAACGAGGTACCGGAAGCGATCACTTATTTGGGGAACGCGTACCATGAGGGTGACCTCGGCCTGAAAAGCGAAAAAAAAGCCGTGAAGCTCTACAAACGCGCGATGGAACTCGGGGACGTGATCGCCATGCTGAATCTTGGGGGCTCCTACGATCATGGAGGAGGCGTCAAAGTGAACAAGAAGAAGGCGTTGCAGCTGTATCGTATGGCCGCGGATCGGGGCCACGCGAGGGCGCAATGCAACCTTGGACACATGCTTCTCGAGGAACAATATGATGAATCGCAGCGAGAGGGCTTCGAATATCTCAAGCTCAGTGCAGCCCAGGGCTTTACGGATGCACTCTACCAGGTCGGCTGGTGCTACGCAACCGGAGTGGGCACGGAAACCGACCTCGCCGAAGCCAAGCGCTGGTTCGAACGCGCAGCTGCCAAGGGCCACAAGGGCGCGATCCGCGGGCTAGAAGTCCTCGCGAGGCGGCACAGCTCGTAACAGCCGTGTTAAACACCCCGCGGCCGAACCTAGCGCGGCGTCGTCGCCCCCGGCGGCTTGAAGTCGCGGGGGTCGGCGCCGTCGGCGGGGTTGTGCAGCGCGGCGAGGTTCGCCTCGATGGCGCGCTGGCCGAGGTCGTAGATCGCGGACACGACGAGCCCCTCGAGGCTCCCTCGGAGGACGAGTCCCTCGGAGGAGACGAGGCCTGAGACAGTGGAGTGATCAAAACTCAGATTCTGATTGCCTGGATTTTTTTTTCGCGCGCGGTCGACGCACAGCCTCTACGGAGGACTAATGAACCCGGGCCCAAAATGATCGATTAATATTAATAGCGCACGCTGCGCCTTCCCTGTAATTCGCAACTCGTAGAGTGAGAATTTGGGAAGCGTAGCGGAGCAGAAGTTTCCACTAATAGCACGGTGGTGTGTCTGTGTCCTCCGGGAGTTTAGGAACGGATTGATTGCGACGCCATCGAAACCAAAATCGACGCGGTCTGGACCGACGTTTCAATTGGGGTATTCCTCAGGTGAATAATATTCTACGTGCGCCAACTCGCCGCTGGTGCCGCGCGCCGCGCGTGGGACCCCCCCCGGGGGCTTTCGAAACGAATCGAAACACGGCTTTCGCGCGTCAGCGCGCGCGTCTTGGCCAGAAAATTGGTTCGCAGGGTGTACCAAACCCATGCGGACCCGGGCGCGGAGGGTCGCGCCGTCGGGCGATGTGAGTCGCGCGCGAGCGCGGCCGAGGTCGTCTCGGTGAAACGAGCGGAGCCGGCGCGCCGCGCGCGCGGACAGATGAACGAAACTCGCAACCTCAACGATCGTTCGTCGAGCGCGAGCGGCTACGATGATGTGTGATGTTCGTTCCGGGCTCTGCGGGGCGAGCTAGGCGGTACCCGAGGGGCTCGACACTCGCGCCTCAGGCTCTCGTGCGCGGCCGTCAGTGGTCTTCAAACTGCAGGCGGTGCGGGCGCCGCAGCGCACGCACGAAGTCAAACAACACACACGATGTGACCTCGTACTCAAGTCCGAAACAACGTCCGTGCATGTGCGGGACGACATCGCCTCGCGCCCGATCGCGGCGCATCGCAACCGTCACTTTGGCCCTCGAAGGTCACGTTGAACATCAACGAGCAGTTCGGCTCGCGTCCCTGGCCGAGTCCCCACACCTCGACCCACTATGGCAAATTTTTCTGCATCTAGCTGCTCTCCATAGCTCTCCTCCCTGTGTAAAACGAGACGGACAGTTATTGCGTGCGCGAAGCTTTAGCTGTGGTTATCATTAGTTAATCTAGGTGCACCTAGATGTACGTTGATCACCGCACTGGCCTGAGACGCCTGAGGAGGCCTCGGGGGACGCCCTCGCACAAGAGGCGGCCAGCCAGTCAGGACTCGCAGGTCTCGCTTGTGGAGGTCGAGTACAATGGACGAGCGCACGACGAATTCAGACGACGCGCCTGGGGGCAATTCGGAGAAGCAGCAGGAGTATGAAGCGAAGAAGCGGGAGTACGAAGCCAAGAAGGCCCGGACGAAGCTCGCGCTCAACATTTGCACGATCTGCGGCCAAAAAAACGCCAAGGCTTGCCAAGGTTGCGGCACGACGGTCTACTGTTCGACGGACTGCCAACGCATCGACTGGCGCGACCGGGGCCACCGGAAGGCGTGCAAACAGATCCAGAACGAGCGCGCGGCGGAGGCCGCGCGCGCGGAGGCGCCGACGCCCCCGCCGTCGCCGCCGCGCGAGGTGTTCTACGGCCCCGCGCCGCGGTCGCACGCCGACGAGGTCCGCGCGCGCATCGCCGCCGAACACGAGGCCGCTCGCGCGCGCCGCGAGGCGAACCCGGCACCAGTGCCGCAGTCGGCGCGGTACGGGTCGCGGTGCCCGATTTGCTTGGACGAATGGGACGTGAACGAACACACTTGCCTTCAAATTTGCTGCTGCCGAAGAGTCTGCGGTTCATGCGGTGACAAGCTTCACGGCAAGCCGTGTCCTCTGTGTCGTTTGCCGTGGCCGGAGTCTGAGGCGGAGCAGCTGGCGCGGCTTCGCCGCCACGTGGAGAACGAGGTACCGGAAGCGATTACTTATTTGGGGAACGCGTACCGTGAGGGTGACCTCGGCCTGAAAAGCGAAAAAAAAGCCGTGAAGCTCTACAAGCGCGCGGCGGAACTCGGGGACGTGATCGCCATGCTGAATCTTGGGTGCTCCTACGATCATGGAGGAGGCGTCAAAATGAACAAGAAGAAGGCGTTGCAGCTGTATCGTATGGCCGCGGATCGGGGCCACGCGAGTGCGCAATGCAACCTTGGACACATGCTTCTCGACGGAGGTTCTGATGAATCGCAGCGAGAAGCCTTCGAATACTTGAAGCTCAGTGCAGCCCAGGGCTTTACGCATGCGATCTACCAGGTCGGCTTCTGCTACGTAAACGGAGAGGGCACGGAAACCGACCTCGCCGAAGCCAAGCGCTGGTTCGAACGCGCAGCTGCCAAGGGCCACAAGGATGCAATCCGCGGGCTAGAAGTCCTCGCGGGGCGGCACAGCTCGTAACAGCCATGTTAAGCACCGCGGCCGAACCTAGCGCGGCGTCGTCGCCCCCGGCGGCTTGAAGTCGCGGGGGTCGGCGCCGTCGGCGGGGTTGTGCAACGCGGCGAGGTTCGCCTCGATGACGCGCTGGCCGAGGTCGTAGATCGCGGACACGACGAGCCCCTCCGAAAAAACTCGCTGAACAGGCAGGTCTTGAGTTGTGGAGGAGGTCGAGCAGAGGCATGGACGAGACGAAATCAGGCGACGCGCGGGGGGACACATGGCAGGAGAAAGCGAAAGAATACGAACTCAAAAAGACACGGACGAAGCTCGCGCTCAATATTTGTACGATCTGCGGCGCGGATAAAGCCAAGGCCTGCCAAGGCTGCGGAACTACAGCTTACTGTTCGACGGACTGCCAACGCATCGACTGGCGCGACCGGGGCCACCGGAAGGCGTGCAAATCGATCCAGGCGGAGCGCGCGGCGGAGGCGGCGCGCGCGGAGGCGCCGACGCCCCCGCCGTCGCCGCCGCGCGACGTCTTCTACGGCCCCGCGCCGCGGTCGCACGCCGACGAGGTCCGCGCGCGCATCGCCGCGGAGCACGAGGCCGCACGGGCGCGGCGCGAGGAGAACCCGGAGCCGGCGCCGCAGTCGGAGCGATTCGGGTCGCGGTGCCCGCTCTGCTTTGAGGACTGGGACGTGAACGAAGGCACTTCCCTTCAGATTTGCTGCTGCCGAAGAGTCTGCAGTTCATGCGGTGACAAGCTTCACGGCAAACAGTGTCCTCTGTGTCGGATGCCGTGGGCGGAGTCTGAGGCGGAGGAGCTGGCGCGGCTTCGTCGCCACGTGGAGAACGAGGTACCGGAAGCGATTACTTATTTGGGGAACGCGTACCGTGATGGTGATTTCGGCTTGAAAAGCGAGAAAAAAGCCGTGAAGCTCTACAAACGCGCCGTCGAGCTCGGGGACGTGTCCGCCACGCTGAATCTCGGGTACGCCTACAGGCGTGGAGAAGGCGTCAAAATGAACATGAAGAAGGCAATGCAGCTCTATCGAATGGCCGCGAATCGGGGCGACGCGCAGGCGCAATGCAACCTTGCGAAGGTTCTTCTCGACGAAGGTTCTGATGAATCACAGCGAGAAGCCTTCAAATACTATATGCTCAGTGCAGCCCGGGGCTTTACGGATGCGATCTACATGGTCGGCCAGTGCCACGTAAACGGAGAGGGCACGGAAGTCGACCTCGTCGAAGGCAAACGATGGTTCGAACGCGCAGCTGCCAAGGGCGACAAGGATGCGGTCGAAGCGCTAGAAGAAGTGCTAGAAATGCTAGAAGAGCTCGCGCGGCACGGCACGTAAACCATGTTAAATACCCCGCCCTGCGGGTCGGGGACGTAAATGCCGCGTTAAACACCCCGCGGCGTCGTCGCCCCCGGCGGCTTGAAGTCGCGGGGGTCGGCGCCGTCGGCGGGGTTGTGCAGCGCGGCGAGGTTCGCCTCGATGACGCGCTGGCCGAGGTCGTAGATCGCGGACACGACCAAGCCCTCCTCGCGCTTGTGCGCGGTGCGGTCCGTGCGGACGCGGGCCTCGAGGTTCGTGATCTTGTCCTGCTTCTCCTTGATCTGGTTCTTGTAGGTCTGGACGAGGACGCTGTACTTCTCCTGGACGTTGTGGAGCGTCTTCCGCGTGTACGTCTCGAGCTTCTCCCGGTCCGCCTGCAGCTTCGCGATCGTCGCGTCGCGCTCCGCGAGGACCGCCGCGCGGTCGTCGGCGGCCGGCGGCGGCGGCGCGGCGGACGTCTCCGGCGGCGCGGCGCCGACCGCGGGCGCGGCCGCGAGCGCGCGCCTCGCGTCGTCGAGGTCCGCGGCGAGTTTCGCGGCGCGCTCGTCGAGGCGGCTCGCGTGGGCCTCGGCGTCGGCGGCCTTGGCGCGGGCGTCGAGGGCGTCGCGCTCGCGCGCCGCGAGGGACGCTTCCAAGTCCCTGAGCTGGCCCTCGAGCACGTCCGCGCGCGCGGCGGCCGCGGCCGGCGGCGCGGCGCCCGACCCGCCGTCGGCCGGCGCGGCGGCCGCGGCCTCGAGGCGCTGGTTCTCGCGCTCGAGGCGCGCGACCTTGGCGCGGAGCTGGGCGGCGGACTCGCCGAAGACGGGCGCGAAGTCGTCGCCGCCGTCCGGCGCCGCGTCGCGCGGCGCGTCGTCCGCGGCCGCGGGCGCGCGCGCCGTCGCGGCCGCGAGCTCCTCCTCGAAGAAGCGCCGCGCCTCCGACGCCTCCTCGAGGTCCTCCCGGCAGCGGCGGAGCTCCGCGTCCTTGAGCTCGAGGGCGCTCTTGAGCTCGAAGGCCTCGCGGTCGCGCGCGGACCGCTCGGCCTTCAACCGCTCGCACTCCGCCTGCGCGCCGCCCGCGTTCGCGACGACGCCCTCCAGCCGCAGGATCTCCGCGAGGTAGGCCGCGTTCTGGTCGTCGAGGTCCTTCATCTCCCGCCGCGCGCTCGATAAGTCTTCCACCTTCTTCCTCAGCTTGTCCGCGCGCGCCTCCGCGACCTCGGCCTCGGCGCACCGGCTCCGCGCGACGTCGAGCTCGTCGACGAGCGCCTGCTTCGCCGTCGCCGCGGTCCGCGCCGCTTCCAATAGCGCGTCGACGCGGCCCTCGAGGGCGCCGTTGGCCGTCGCGAGGCGCTCGCCCTCGAGTTCCGACGCGCGGAGCCGCTCCTTCGCGCGCTCCGCCTGCGCGACCGCGGCCGCGCGCTCGCCGCGCGCCTCCTCGAGCTCCGCCGCCAGCTCGTCGCGCGCCGCCTCCGCCGCCGCGCAGCGCTTCGCGCCCGCGGCCTCCGCGGCGTCGCGCGCGTCCTTGAGCGCCGCGACCTCGCGCCGCATCGCGTCCGCGGCCGCGCGCGCGTCGTCGCCGTCGCCGCTCTCGGCGCGCGCGCGGGGCGACGCGGCCCGCGCGTCGCCGGACGCCGCCGGCGACGCCGAGACGGCCTGCATGGCGCGCTCGACGACGACCATGAGCGCCGCCTGCGACGCGTCGTCGAGGCTCATGATCGCGCCGATGTAGCGCTGCTTCCGCGCGCACTGCACCGCCGCGCCCAGCACGAGCTCGGCCGCGCGGCAGCTCGACGCCGCGTCGCCCTTGGCCGCGCCCTCGGCGTCGACGTCGTCCGCCAGGGCCGACACGTCGCGGCCGACCTCGACCGCGTACCACTCCGCCGCGCGCCGGAGCAGCCGCCGGAGCCGCCCGGCGCCCAGCGCCCAGTTCGACTCGCCGAGGTCGCCCGTGACGTCGAGGCCCGCGGCATCGCCGGACACCTCGGCGAACACGAGACTCAGCGCGACGCCGTTCCCGAGCTTCGACGCCTCGGCGGCCTCGCAGCCGGCGAAGGTCCGCGCCCAGGCCGCGACGGCGCCGAGGTCGCCGGCGGCGTCGGCGGCCATCGCTTTTAAAAACTGTGCTTGCTGCCAACTGCGCGCCGCCGCGCCGTCACGAGCGACGACTGCGCCGGCAGCGCGGCGTCGATTGCCACAGGCCGTCGTCTTGGACAAGCGACGCCGACGGTGGAATCGTGCAAGGCTGCCCGCACCCGTTGCGACGATGGGGGACGATGTGCAGCTCCAGCGGGCGCTCATGGCGAGCTTCCAGAGCGCGCCGCGGCCGTCGGCCGGCGGCGGCGGCGGCGGCTTCGGCCGGTCGTCGACGTTCACGAGCTCGCCCTTCGGCCCGCAGCGCGGCGGGTCGTCGCGGTCCGTCGGGTCCTCGGGCCGGTCGACGCGGGGCACGCTGGCCAAGGCGGGCATCGCCGCGGCGACGGAGGGCGGCCTGTCGCGGCGCGGCGCGACGGGGTCGCTGTCGGCGCGGCGCGCGTCGCTCACGGACCAGGGCCGCAGCGAGGAGCGCAACTTCGGCGCGGAGATCGGCACCGGCGGCCGGAAGCTCGGCGAGCGCGTCGACGTGCTGCCGAAGCCGAGCGCGCCGAGCCGCGAGGATTTAGGCGACGGCTGGTGGCGCCTGAGCGGGCCGAAGAGCGGGTCCTTCCGCAAGGCGGGCCTCCACACGATCGCGGAGGCCTCGAAGGGCCGGCCGTTGGTCTGCGCGTTCGAGTCGCGCGTCGAGGTCGTCCGGAGCGCCGTCGGCGCCGAATGCGACGGCGACCGGAGCTTCGCCGTCGAGGCGTCCTTCAAGGCCTGCGTCGACAGCGCCAACGCGCGCACCGAAGACGACGGCGCCGCCGCGGGCTTCGCGGTCCTCGTGGGACTGAAAGGCGGCGATTCCTACGTCGCCGTCCGCGCGGACGCGCTCCACAAGACCTGGACCCTGGAGCTCCACACGCCCGGCGGCGTCGACGTCGTCGCCGACGCCGTCGACGCGTCGCTGAAGCCGAACAAGTTCGTCGAGGTGCTCGTGCAGGTCCGCGGCGCCGCGATCTCCGTCGAGTCGGACCGCCACCCCGTCTTCACGTCCGTCGGGCTCGGCAGCCCGCCGGGCGGGCCGTCGGTCTTCGCCGGCGCCGTGGGCGTCCGCGCGGGCCGCCGCGAGCGCGTCGCGCTCAAGGGCTGGCGCATCGTCGCCGAGCGGCGCGCGCCGCCGAAGGAAGCGCGGCGCGCGTCCGCGACGACGGCGGCGCCCGCGGCGCCGACGTCGCTCCGCGCCGCCCTGGAGCGGCAGGGCGAGCCCGCGGAGGAGAAGCGGCCCCTGCGCGAGCGGACGAACGAGCGGGACCGGTCGGGCTGGGACGCGAACGCGCGCGAGGACGCGATCGACGACACGCTCGTGGAGCCGTCGCGGCTGAACGTGACCATGGACGACGTCGTCGGCCTCGAGGCCGCCAAGGGCGCCCTCAACGAGGCCGTCGTGCTGCCCATGCTCGTGCCCGAGCTCTTCACGGGCATCCGGAGCCCGTGGCGCGGCGTCTTGCTGTTCGGCCCGCCGGGCACGGGCAAGACGCTGCTGGCCAAGGCCGCGGCGGGCGTCGAGGGCGCGACGTTCTTCAACGTCTCCGCGGCGACGCTCGCGTCGAAGCACCGCGGCGAGTCGGAGAAGCTGGTGCGCGCGTTGTTCGCGCGCGCGCGCGGCGAGGACCGCGGCGTCGTCTTCTTCGACGAGGTCGACGCGCTCTGCGCGCGGCGCGGCGGCGACGGCGAGCACGAGGCGTCGCGGCGCCTCAAGACGGAGCTGCTCACGCAGCTCGACGGCGTCCGCGGCGCCGCGGAGCGCGTGACCGTCCTCGCGGCGACGAACCGGCCCTGGGACCTCGACGACGCCGTGCTCCGGCGCCTCGAGCGGCGCGTCCACGTCCCGCCGCCGGGGCCCGCGGGGCGCGAGGCGCTGCTGCGGCTCTCCCTCGAGGGCACGAAGCACGCCATGTCGGACGCGGACGTCGCCGCGCTCGCGGCGAGGGCCGAGGGCTACAGCGGCGCGGACGTCGTCCTGGCCTGCCGCGAGGCGTCGATGATGCCCATGCGCCGCCTCATCGACGGCGTCGACCCGGCGGACCTCGCGGCCGTCGCCGCGGACCTCGACAACGAGCCCGTCTCGCTCGCGGACTTCTCCGCGGCGTTCGCGAGCACGAAGCCGTCGATCACGCCCGCGGACGTCGACAAGCACCTCGCCTGGGCGGCGCGCTTCGGGGCGGGGAACTAACGCGTATTTTTAGGTCGACACTCGATGTTGGCATCGGCGTGGAAGGGGGAGGAGCAACGGGAGGACCAGGGTGAGGACCGGCGGACGCGTCGAGACTGCTTCAACACGGCCACCAACGCAAACCCTTTGGCAGATCAGTCCAATCGTGCGCCGCCGCTCGGAGCGAGCTGCAGCTCTAACTGTTTGCGCTTCGTCGTCGGCGCCGTCGGGGTCAGTGCACGGAACTGCGCTCGGCAGTCATTCGCCGACGCCCCGGGGCCGCGCCGGGGCCATGGACCAAACGTCAACGTCGAGGTGCGCCGCCCGCGGCCCGCCGCAGCGCTTCGCCGCCGCAGCCGCCCGTTTTAGGTCCTCGGACGCCGCGGACCAGGTCCACGAGGCGGAGAAGCAGCTCGTGCTCGAATACGCCGACAAACTGATCCGCGAGGTGCGCGACCGGGGCGCGCGACCGCCGCCGCCGCGCGCGCGGGGGGCCGCGCGGCGCGCGCGGAACCGGCCGGCCGACCGCTCCGTCCCGCCGCAGGGCGGCGTGACCGTGGACATGGCCTACTCCGTCGCGCTCGAGACCTTCTTCACGGAGAGCGACGACCGCGCGCCCGCCGCGTCCCCCCGGGTGTCGACCTCTTTTCCAACCGCGGAAACGCGCGCAGGCCTCGGCGGCACGGAGCCGCGCGACCGCGACCTCGTGCAGGCCTACGCGGAGGAGATCTCCGCGCGGGGCCTGCCGCGCAAGGAGTGCTACGCCGCGGCGCTCGACGCATTTTTGGCCGACAAGGCGCGGTTCCGCGCGTCGCGGTCCGCGGCGACGCCGAGGAAGCCGTCCGTCGACGTCGCGTCGCTCATGACGCGCGCGGAGCGGCCGCTCAACTCGCCGACGGCGGGGCGGCGGGCCGCGGAGCCCGGCGCGGACGTCGACATGGGCGACCCCGTCGCGCGCGCCGCGAACGTCGACATGGGCGACGCGGACGAGAGCGACGACGACGACGACGACGACTCGGCCGGCGACTTCGACCCCTACCTCTTCATGAAGCACCTGCCGCCCAAGGCGGCCGCCGCGCGCGACGGCTGGGACGCGGCGCACCCGCGCCTCGGCCCGCGGCCCGCGGGCCACGCGAAGCCCGTCACGCTCGTGCTCGACCTCGACGAGACGCTCGTGCACAGCCAGATGGAGCCGCGGGGCGACGCGGACTTCGTCTTCGACGTCCAGCTCTGCGGCGTGACGTCGACGGTCTACGCCAAGTCGCGGCCCCGGCTCGACGACTTCCTGCGCTACGCGGCCGCGCGCTTCGAGGTCGTCATATTCACGGCGTCGCACCACGCGTACGCGGAGACGCTGCTCGACAAGATCGACCCGGACGGGAGCCTCATCGACCACCGCCTCTTCCGCGACGCCTGCGCCACGGTCGACGGCCTCTATCTCAAGGACCTGGACGTCCTGGGCCGCGACCTCGCCAAGGTCGCGATCGTCGACAACACGCCCTACGTCTTCGGCTTCCAACCGGACAACGCCATCCCCATCGAGTCCTGGTACGACGACGAGGCCGACGACGAGCTGGACAAGCTCAAGGCGCTCCTCGACCGCCTCGAGCACGCGCCGGACGTCCGGCCGCTCCTCGTCGACGCCTTCGCGCTCCGCGCGAAGATCGACGACGCGGACGCGCTCAGCCGCCGCAACGACAAGTACCTCTAGGGCCCGCTCCCTCGCTCGACCTCGATCGCGGGCCTCCGCCCCTCCCGAAACACACGCATAAATGACTCCCCCCGCGCGCGGCCGTCTCGCTTTCGTCCAGATGGGCGTCGATCGCCGACCCAAAAAATGAGTGGCAAAACCGCCCAAGCCTCTAAATAATCGCGCCGTCCTAGGCGCGCGCCGTCGGCGACACGACCGCGCGCGCCGTCGGCGACACGACCATGGCCCGCGACCGCGAGCCCGCCTGGACGCTCTTAAAGGAGCCCATCGTCTGGTCCGTCGCCCTGACGAGCGCCATCCTCTTCGTCGTGCTCAGCGTCCTGTGGCGGTGACGATTTTCGAGAGATTTTGACCGGGAAAACGAAGAGAACTCGTTACCGACATGCTTGGTAGGTCGTGCTCTACCGAAACGAGATGCACCAGACGTGCCACGACCGGATGAAGGTCGGCGACTACGCGGAGACGGACGGCGACGAGCGGCACCAGCTGAGCCACATCCTCTGTTGCGACTTCGAGTACCGGCTCACGGCCGCGGGCTTCACCGTCGCGGCGTTTCTGTTCGTCGTCGGCGTCCACAGGAACCTCGGCCCGATCCGCGTGAGCCTCGGCAAGCGGCAGGCCGTCGTCATCGCCGTCTTCGCGTGGGTCGCGGCCGTCGGTCTATGCCTCCTGAGCGTCTGCGACACCTGCGGGCGCTTCGAGGCCTACCACATGATCGGCGCGGGCATGTTCTACGTCGGCGGCTTCGGGATCATGTTCGCGACGACGGCGACGTGGCGGACCGTCGAGGGGAAATGCGTCTGCAACTACCATAGCAGCCTCCACTGGGAGACCGACGAGAGGTATTGGGTCATCGGCTTGGCCAAGGTCTTCTCCCTCGCGGGCGGCATGCTGACGCTGTTCCTGTGGTGGGCCGACCCCTTCCTCGGCCAGCTCCTCGCCATCGCGACGATCCTGCTCACGTGCCTGAGCCTCCAGTTCGACGCGACGTACCTCGGCGGGCCCGAGGTCATCCCCTTTACCGATACGTAAACCTTAGCATTTTCGTCGGTGGCTCGCACGCCTGCTGGGCGAGAGGTCTCGCGAGCGTCGCGCTGGCGTATCTAATAACCGTGCGTGTCCATTTCGTTGAGGACGCTCATGGCCTTCCCGTGGCCCTTGCCGGCCGCGCGCGAGAGAAAGCGCCTGGCTTCTTCAAAATTCAACTCCACGCCTTTACCCGTTAAGTAAGAAAATCCGGTGTTGAATTCGGCGCCAGTGAGGCCCTGATCCGCAGCAAGCTTGAACCAGCGGAACGCTTCCTCAAGATTTTGATTGTAAAGACGAAGCTCCTCAACATTTTGATTGTAACGAAGAAGCATGATTCCGAGATTGTACTGCCCACATGGATCACCCCATTCTGCAACTTCCCGCATCATTTGTAGCGCCTTCTTCTTGTCCAGCTTTACGCCATTCCCATCGAAGTACAACGTGGCGAGCCACACCTTTGCGTCCACGTTCCCGAGCTCCACGGCGCGCTTGTAGAGCTTTGCGGCCTTCTTCGTGGATATCGCAAGTCCCATAAGATGGCCGTGGTGGTACGCCGAGGCTAGGTATGCAATCGCCTCCGGCACGCCGTTCTCCACGTGGCGACGAACAAAGGCGAGCTCCTCCGCATCATTATTTACTCGCGGCGCTCGACAGAGAGGGCACGCCACGCCACGACCACGGGTCTTGACCACACAAGACTCGCAGATCGTCCGCGCGCAACAGGTTTTAAACACGGGCGTCGCATTCACGTCCCATTCCTCGCGACAGATCGGGCACCGCGATCCGAACCGCGCCGACTTAGGCTCCGCCTCCGGGTTCGCCTCGCGCCGCGCGCGGGCGTTCTCGTGCTCCGCGGCGATGCGCGCGCGGACCTCGTCGGCGTGCGACCGAGGCGCGGGGCCGTAGACCACGTCGCGCGGCGGCGACGGCGGGGGCGCCGGCGCCTCGGCCCGCGCCGCCTCCGCCGCGCGCTCGCTTCGGATCTTCTTGCACGCCTTTCGGTGACCCCGGTCGCGCCAGTCGATGCGTTGGCATTCAGTCGAACAATACTGCGTAGTTCCGCACGGACAGTTCAGTAAAATTCTCGGTTTCGCCCCACAAATCGTGCACGTCAAACGCAGCTGTAGCGCTTTCGCCCGCGCCTTCTTCTCCTCGTATTCGCGCTGCTTCTCGACGTACTCGGCCTTCATGATCGTTTGCGCGGCGGCGCGCGGGCGACACAGTTTTGCTCTTCACCACAGCTTGCTCCTGAGCTCGCAAGCCAAAATCGCTCAAAACCCGACCCAGGGTTAGCCCCACCCCTAGAGCGTCACGTTCATGTCCCCCTCGGCGGCGGCGTCGTCCTTGCGCCAGGCGGGCGTCGCGTTCAAGAACGCCAGGATCCAGACCACGAAGTTCGGCGCGGAGAGGAACGCCGCGACGACGACGCCAAGGCCAAGCACGACTCGCCCGCGCGCAAGCGCAGCATCCCAGGCTCGGGCGACGACGTGGCGTAAAGATTGTTTAGGCTATACTCGCGCGTTAAGGTGCGCGAGGTTCTCTATAGCATGCTCGTCGCCCTTGGCAGCGGCGCGCTCTAACCAGTATCTGGCTTTGCCGAGGTCGACTTCCGTGCCTTTTCCGTCACTGTAACACATGCCAAGGAAAGTCTCTCCAGGGGTATAGCCTTGATCAGCCGAGAGCGCGTAGTACCGGACCGCCTCTTCGAATTTCTCCTCAGAAGAAAGTAAAACCGCTAAATTGCCTTGCGCGAACGCGTCGCCCCGATCTGCGGCCGCCCGATACAGCTTCATCGCCTTCTTCTTGTCCAGCTTGACGCCACTTCCATGCTCGTACAATCTCCCAAGGTTATTCACCGCCATCACGTTCCCGAGCTCCACGGCGCGCCGGTAAATCTTCGCGGCTTTCTTATCAGATTTCACGAGACCGTAGAGACCGAATTGGTACGCAATTCCCAAATGCGTAATCGCTTCCGGCACCTCGTTCTCCACATGGCGGCGCAGACGCGCGAGTTGTTCCGCGTTGGTTCCTAGCGGTAAACGACAGAGAGCACACGCCTCGAATCCGATCTTGTCTTCGCACGATCGGCAGACCTTTCGGCAGCAACAGACGCGAAGCACGCCCGGAACATTCACGTCCCACTCCTCGAGGCAGATCGGGCACCGCGACCCGTACCGCGCAGACAGCGGCTCCCGCTCCGGGTTCGCCTCCCGCAGGGCACGAGCCGCCTCGTGCTCCGCGGCGATGCGCGCGCGGACCTCGTCGGCGTGCGACCGAGGCGCGGGGCCGTAGACGACCTCCTCCGGCGGCGACGGCGGCGCCTCGGCCCGCGCCGCCTCCGCCGCGCGCTCGCTTCGGATATTCTTGCACGCCTTTCGGTGACCCCGGTCGCGCCAGTCGATGCGTTGGCATTCAGTCGAACAATACTGCGTAGTTCCGCACGGGCAGCAAAGCAAGGTTCTCGGTTTCGCCCCACAAATCGTGCACGTCAAACGCAGCTGTAGCGCTTTCGCCCGCGCCTTCTTCTCTTCGTATTCGCGCTGCTTCTCGACGTACTCGGCCTTCATGATCGTTTGCGCGGCGCGCGGGCGACACAGTTCTGCTCTTCACATCTTGCTCCTGAGCTCGCCAGGCAAAATCGCTCAAAACCCGACCCAGGGTTAGCCCCACCCCTAGAGCATCGCGTTCATGTCGTTCTCCATGCCCGCCTCGGCGGCGGCGTCGGCCTTGCGCCAGGCGGGCTTGGCGTTCAGGAACGCCAGGCACCAGACCGCAAAGGTCGGCGCGGAGAGGAACGCGGCGACGACGACGCCAAGGCCAAGCAGGACTCGCCCGCACGCAAGCGCAGCGTCTCGGGCTCGGGCGACGTCGCGGCGTGAAGACTTAGGCTACACTCGCGCGTCGAGGCGCGCGAGATTCTCTATAGCTACGTCGTAGCCCTTGGCGGCGGCGCGCTCGAGCCAGTATCTGGCTTTGCCGAGGTCGACTTCCGTGCCGTCTCCGTCCCTGTAACAGTAGCCAAGGCTATTTTCTGCAAAGGTACAGCCTTGATCCGCCGCGAGCGCGAAGTACCGGAACGCTTCTTCAAATTTCTCCTCAGAACCAAGTAAAGACCCTAAATTGATTTGCCCGAACGCGTCGCCCCGATCTGCGGCCGCGCGATACAGCTCCTCCGCCTTCTTCTTGTCCAGCTTGACGCCACTTCCAGTCGCGTACAAATACCCAAGTCGTACCATCGCGTCCACGTCGCCGAGCTCCACGGCGCGCCGGTAAATCTTCGCGGCTTTCTTATCGGATTTCACGAGGCCCACCCGACCGAAGCGGTACGCATTTCCCAAATTCGTAATCGCTTCCGGCACCTCGTTCTCCACATGGCGGCGAAGCCGCACGAGCTGCTCCGCATTGGACTTTGCGCACGGTATACGGCAGAGGGGACACGCGTCGGTGCCGATCTTGTCCTCGCACGATCGGCAGACCCTCCGGCAGCAACAGACGCGAAGCATGTGCGTCGCATTCACGTCCCACTCCTCGAGGCAGATCGGGCACCGCGACCCAAACCGCGCAGACAGCGGCTCCCGCTCCGGGTTCGCCTCGCGCCGCACGCGGGCCGCCTCGTGTTCCGCCGCGATGCGCGCGCGGACCTCGTCGGCGTGCGACCGCGGCGCGGGACCGTAGAACACGTCCCGCGGCGGCGACGGCGGGGGCGTCGGCGCCTCGGCCCGCGCCGCCTCCGCGGCCTGGATTTTCTTGCAGACCTTCCGGTGCCCCCGGTCGCGCCAGTCGATCCGTTGGCAGTCCGTCGAACAGTAGGCCGTCGTGCCGCACCCTTGGCACGCCTTGGCCTTGTCGGCGCCGCAGATCGTGCAGGTCTTGAGAGTGTCGAGTTTTTTGCCCCTCGCTCGGGCCATGCGATTCTCATACTCCAACTTCTTCTCTCGCCACGACATGACTCGGCGCGCGCGCTTGACCGGGGCGTCGCCACAATCCCGAGCGACTCGAGTCGCCACTTCAGGGCTTCGATGCTCGCCAACAGGTACCACCGGGGGAGAGCTCCCCCCACTCACGCCTATCATACCCGACAATTAAGCTACCCCCACCCCCCCTTCTCGTCGGCCTTCTTCGAGGGCGTGCGCGGCGCCGACGACGAGAAGCCCATGCCCTGGCGCACGGACGTCCGCGCGGGCGCGCGCGCGAGGTCCGCGGCGTCGCGGGTCGGCGGCGCGCGGAGCGGCGCGGGCGCCGCGGGCTTGACGTGGAGGTGGCGGTACTGGCGCTTCGTGTGGAGCTGGTGCGCGAGCGAGTTGGCGTCGCGCGCCTGCTCGATCTGGGCGACGATGTCCGGCAGGGGCTTCTTCGGCGCGACGAACTTTTGGCGCGCGAGCATCTGCGTCGTCGTCGACACGGGCAGCGGCTTCGCCTCCGGCTCCTTGGGCTTGGACGTGGACCGGCGCCGTTCGAGGCGCCGCTCGATGGCGTCGCGCTGGCGCCGCGCGTCGGACCGCTGCCGCTCGAGGCGCTTCTCCGCGGCCGCGGCCTCGGCGTCCGCGAGGTCCACGAAAAGCCGGTGGTACTCCGCGTCGTCGGCTTTCGCCTCCGGCGCGGGCGCGACCTCCGCGGCGACGACCAAGGGCCCCGGCGGGACCATCGTATCGCGCCCGCTGCGCTCGATGGCCTCGAGCACGGCCGCGCGCTGCCGCGTGACGAACGCGTGCATCTCGCGGCGGCGCTCGCTCTCGAGCTCCGCGTCGAGCGCCGCGAGCGTCGCCTCGACCTCCTCCGCGAGCTCCCGCAGCCGCCCCCGCGGCGACGGCGGCGCGGCCTCCCCCTTGGCCTCGCGTTCGCGCTCGCTCTCCGCCGCGGCCTCGAGCCGCGCTTTCAGCGCCGCCTCGCGTTGCGCGTGCTTGTCCCGGAGCCGCGCGACGAGGTCCGCGCGCTTCCTCGCGTGCGCCTTGGCCAGGTCGCCGGCGAGGACCCCCAGCGCGCCGTCGTGGTCCCGGACGAGCGCCGTCACCGTCGCCATGTCCGCGCGGTGCCCCGCGGCCTCGCCTGCGCGGAAATCAACCGGTGAGCCAAACTTCAAAATTATCGAGCTCGGTCAAATCGAAGTCGATTGAGCTGATTTCTGGACGAGTCGTTCGCTCTCGTTGAGTTCTCGAAGCACAGTTCAAGATAACGAGCTCATATATTGAAGTCGGATGGAACGTTTGATTCCCGCGCGCGGCCTCGCAGATGCCGAACGCCTCGCCGCAGAATTTGGCGTGCGCGTCGCGCGTCGCCTTCAACTCCCGCCGCGCGAGGTCGCCCTCGAGCTCCGCCCACTCGGCGAGCTCCTCGTCGACGGCCTCGTCGCTCCGCGGGCCCACGCCCGGCGCCGCGGGCACGCACCGCGCCTTGAGCCGCGACCGCAGCGCCGCGTGCTGCCGCGACCTGGGCAGCACAAGAGTGATTCAACGTCGCTTCAACGTGAGTGTTCCGCGCGCGCGCGTTCCGGAAAAAGCATCCGCGCTTCGGGACCGTTCCGAGAGATGATCGCTCGTCCAACAATCCGCCGAAACGAGTGGAAAACGGCCGAGATCGGAGCCTTTGAAGTTGGGAATTTCGCTCTCTTTTGCTGCCCTGGCCGCGACCGCTCCTCCGCGAACGCGTGCTCCTCGGCCTCCTGCTCCGCCGCGTGCTCGCCGATGAGCGCCGCCGCGCGCGACCGGAGCGCGCCGTCGTCGGCTTTCGCCGGCAGGTCCAAATCCTCCGCGGCGAGCCGCAGGCCCTCGCGGACGCCCGCGGACGCCGCGTCGACGGCGCTCAGCTGCTTCGTCGGGTCCGCGCGGTCCAGGAGCACCTGGCCCCGGAGCGACGCCTGCTGCGACGCGAGTAGGGCCGCGAGCGCCCGGAACCGCTCGTCGCCGAGCTGCTCCTCCAGCAGGAGCAGCTCCGCGTCGCCGTCCGCGTCCGTCGCGCCGCGGACGCGGACGCGCGCGAGCAGCGCGGCCCGCCGCGCGCCGTGGCGCCGGTCCAGGTCCGCGACGAGCGCCGCGCGCGCCGCGTCGTGCTCCAGCACGAGGCCCGCGACGTCGTAGGCGTCCGTCGGCGCCCCCGCGGCCGCGCAGTGGCCGAGGACGGCGCCGTAGAGCGACGCCTGCGACGCGTCGAACGCCGCCAGCTCGGACCGCGCGCCCTCCGCGTCCGCGGCGGCCCAGTCCGCGAGCTCCTCCGACACGCCGACGTCGTCGAGGTCGCCGTCCGGGTCCTTGGCCGCGTCGCGGCGCCGCGCGTCGCGCCGCCGGAGCAGGTCCGCCGCGCGGCGCCGCCGCGCGGCCCCGAGCGCCGCCGCGCGCTCCCGGCTCGTCGCGTCGTGCGCCGCGACCAAGTCCGCGACGACCTTGGCCAGGTCCAGGCCCTCGGGCAGCTCCCGGGCGCCGTCGAAGGCCGCGAGCGAGGCCGCGTTCGCCGCGAGGACCTCCGCCGCCGCGGCGTCGCCGGCCGCGCCGCCGCCGGCGTCCGCGCGGCGCTCGGACGCGCGCTTCTCCAGCCGCGCCGCCAGGGCGCTCCGCGCGTCGAGGCGCCGCCGGAGCGCCGCGTCGACGGCGCTCTCGAGGCCCGCGGCCGCGCCGGCGACGAGCGCCTCGAACGTGCCGTCGAGCCGCGCGACGGCCTCGCGCTCGCGCGCGGTCGCCGCGTCGCGCTCGAGCGCGAGCGCGTCCTCG